TCTGCTCAAAGCTACAGGTTGCAAAAGGAATTCAAAAGCCAGGCAGTGGTGGCTCACGCCTGTCATCCCAGATACTCAAGAGGCTGAGATCTGAGGATTGTGGTTCAAAGCCAGCCCAGGCTGCAAAATCTGAGAGACTTAACCTCCAATTAGCCACCTAAAAACCAAAAGTGGAACTGTGTTCAAATGGTAGAGCACTAGCCTTGAGCACAAAAGCACAGGGACAGTGCTCAGGCCCTGAGTTCAAGCCCAAGGACTGGCCAAAATAAACAACAACCAAAAGAAGATTGGGGAGATATCTCAGTGGTAGAGCGCTTGCCTTGCATGCATGAGGCCCTGGGTTCGATTCCTCACACCACATAAGCAAAAAGAAAAAAACCGGAAGTGGCGCTGTGGCTCAAGTGGTAGAGCGCTAGTCTTGAGCTGAAGAGCTGAGGGACAGCGCCCAGGCCCAGAGTTCAGGCCCCAGGATCGACAAAAAAAATAAATAGTCCTTGGATTTTTTTTATTTTCTATTTTCTTCTACCTTCTCAAGGTGTCACCTCTTGCATTTTAGGTAAGAAACTTAACAAAACCTGCTGTCTCAATGGGGGTACGTGCATCTTGGGGTCCTTCTGTGCCTGCCCCCCATCTTTCTACGGACGGAACTGTGAACACAGCGTCCACAAACAGTAAGCCATCGGACAGGAGAGAGCTGGGGCTGGGTGGATGGACAGGCAGGAGAGGGAAGGAGAAAGAACAGGGTTGGGTTTTTTTTTTTTTTTTGCCTGTATGTGCAGGTTCTGGGACTTGAACTCAGGACCCAAGGTGCAATCCCTAAACTTTGCATGCCAAGCTAGCGCTCTACCACTGGAGCCACAGCGCCACTTCCAGTTTTCTGGGGGTTCATTGGAGATCAGAGTCTCACAGACTTTCCTGCCCAGGCTGGCTTTGAACTGCCATCCTCAGATCTCAGCCTCCTGAGGAGCTGGGCTGAAAGGCATGAGATTTACAATCCGTATTATCTGTTTCTTCTCAGACATTGTGGCTCTCTACCACATGGTACCTGGCTACCCAAGAAATGTTCCCTGTGTCGATGCTGGCATGGCCAAATTCATTGCTTTCACCAGCCATTCCTTCAAGACTGTGGTAAGCAAGGCTTCCCTCCTCCATTATTTATTAGTTTGTCAGTTATAGGACTCGAACTCTGGGCCTGGGCACTGTCCCTCAACTCTTCAGTTCGAGGTGAGCGCTCTACCCCTTGAGCCACAGCACCACTTCCGGTTTTTCTGAGTGGTTCATTGGATCAGAGTCTCACCGTCATTCCTGCCTGGGCTGGCTTTGAACCGTGATCCTCACATCTCAGCCTCCTGAGTAGCTAGGAGGACAGGTGGGAGCCACTGAACAAGTTTCTCTGTCTTCCAGGGGCGCGTGTGATGGATGATCACTTCATGACTTCCAAGAGTCCCAAGCCAGCGCCCCCAGCGTGGACCCCTTTCCTGTTAGCTGGCCTCTGCCTGCTTATGCAAAGTTATTGATAATTGACTTTTGCCCCCTTTTTGTTTTCTAAATATCATATGACCAGTAAAAGTCAGCTCTATTTATCTTGTGTCCCAGTCTTATGTTGAACTCTTATTAAGTCTTCATATTAGTACTTTTTTGTTTGTTTGTTTTTCTGTCCTGGGCCTTAAACTCTAGGCCTGGGTGCTGTCCCTGAGTTTTGGGGTTCAAGGTTATTGTTCTACCACTTGAGCCACTACTCTACTTATGGCTTTTTTTTTTTTGTGGTCCATCATGGGGCTTGAACTCTGGGCCTGGGCACTGTCCCTGAGCTCTTCAGCTCAAGGCGAGCGCTCTACCACGTGAGCCACAGTGCCACTTCCAGTTTTCTGGTGGTTCATTGGAGATCAGAGTCTCACAGACTTTGCTGCCCAGGCTGGCTTTGAACCACCATCCTCAGATCTCAGCCTCCTGAGTTGCTAGGATGACAGGTGTGAGTCACCAGCACCTGGCTACCTGTATTTTTTTTATCTTTTCTTTTTTGGTACTGGGGGGGGAGGGGATCGAACCCAAGACATTGCACTTGTAGGCAAGTGCTTTGCCACTGAGCTACATCCCAGCACTCTACTTCTGGCCTTTTTTTGTGTGTGGGTAATCAGAGATAAGAGTCTCTCAAGCTGGGCAGCAGGGGCTCACGCCTGTTATCCTAGCAATTCTGGAGGCTGAGATGTGAAGATCATGGTTCAAAGCCAACCTGGGCTGGGAAGTCTGTGAGACTCTCATCTCAAATGAACCACTGAGTTGTGGCTCAAAGTGGTAGATTGAAAAAGCTCCCAGGCCCCCAAATCAAGCCGTTAGGGCCAGCACACACACACACACACACACACACACACACACACACACACACACAGAGCTGCCATCTTAAATGGACCCTGCCTACTGTCTCTCTTGTTCTGACCTTTTTCAAGCCTGTTGTTAATCGGCTCCAGATCTCATTAACCCCTGGATTCAAGAGCTCTGGCTGGGCTGAAGGGATGGATGGACACAGCTCATAAGCCGCCTGGATTTTATGAGCATCTTTTCTGGCATCTTCCAGGTCATTCTCGGAAGAAAAATGAGAATGAGGGGGATTCTCTGGCAGTACTTTCCAGATTATTTTTGGGCAAAGGAATGAAGTCGCCAAATGCAGTTGCACCTGCCCAGACATGTCCTTAGGGTCCTAGGGAGATAGGACACAGCTGTCCCCAGACCAAAGCCCCTGGCCAGCTTTTTTGTGGTTGTTACTTGTGGTTGTGGGGCTTGAACTCTGGGCCTGGGCGCTGTCCCTCAGCTCATCAGCTCAAGGTGAGCACTCTACCACTTGAGCCACAGCACCACTTCTGGTTTCCTAGTGGTTCACTGGTGACAAGAGTCTCCCAGACTTTGCTGCCCAGGCTGGCTTTGAACCTTGGATCCTCAGATCTCAGCCTCCTGAGTAACTAAGATGACAGGCAGGCGTGAGCCACCGGCTCCCTGGCCAGTTGGGCGACAATGGCTCGCACCTATCTGGCTTTTGTCTGTGTCTGTGGTACTGAGGAATTGAAGCCAGGGCTTCCTGCATGCTAGGCAAACGCTCTACCACTGAGCCACCTGCCCAGCCCTGAGCATCTTTCTTGGCTGGATGTCTTTTATTGGCAAACACTGATTGCCCAGAGCCAGTCCACTGTTATCACCAGGGGGAGGGGAGACTAAGCAACGTGAAATGTCAGCACCCAGCTCAATCCATGGATTAAGGGCCCCTAAAGTACCACATACTTTTCTTAAGTCAGCCTGTCAGGTGTCCCCAAAGTGTGGCTGGTCACCCCATGCAGGGGTTCCCCCCCACACACACTTTATCTCTGAGGGTGGGTGGCATCCACCTGCTGCTCTGACAATCTGTTCCCAGCTTCGAGCCAGAACATGATGGGAACATGAATGGATCTCTCAGCCAAGTCATGGTCCCCCACCCCTGTGCCAGGGCCACCCCTGATCTGTCTCTAGGTGGGCCCTGCGAGCTAGGGACTTAATTTTTCATCGGGAATCAGAGGCCACCGCCTCTGGAAAGCTGGCTGTGTGATTCTGCCACTCCATTCGGGTGTCTGGAAGCGTGCATGGGCGGAGGTACTTCGGCCACAGTCCCACCCTGCATATAAAACAGATGTACACGCCGAGGGTTGAGGACCCAGGCGAGCGAACCCCTCGGGGCGGCCCAACTAATCAGACAAGAATTCTCTACAGCACTGCCCACCAAACAGCGCAGATTCGTCTCCAAGGTAAGGAAGGGTGTCTTTGCAGAGAGCCTGGGGTGGAGTTTATGGTGTATTTTCAGAGATGCATGAAATGGACTCCTTGGATTCTTCTTTTTTTTTTTTTTAAATGCTGGTTCTGGGACTTGAACTCAGGGCCTGGGCACTGTCCCTGAGCTTCTTTTGCTCAAGGCTAGCACTCTACCACTTGAGCCACAGCACCACTTCTGGCTTTTTCTTTTGGTGATTCATTGGCGATAAGAGGCTTAAAGATTTTCCTGCCCTGGCTGGCTTCGAACTGTGATCCTCAGATGTCAGCTTCCTGAGTCGCTAGAATGACAGGCGTGAGGACCACTGTGTGGTGCTCTTGAAGAGACTCGAAAGAATGGAGGTGGGGCTGGGAAGGTGGCTCAGTGGTAGAGCGCTTGCCTAGCATGCATGAAGTTCTGGGTTCGATTCCTCAGCACCCCTTGCACAGAAAAAGCCAGAAGTGGCGCTGTGGCTCAACTGGTAGAGAGCTCATTTTGAATAAAGGAAGAAATTGAGGGACAGTGCCCAGTCCCTGAGTTCACACCCCAGGACTGGCAAACAAAAAGAACAACAACAACAAAAAGATGAAGAATGAAATTCATAGTTTACGAAATACAAGCCTTCGGGGTTGTTTTTGGGGGGTGGGGTGGGGAGGTATGGAGGGGTTCTGATTGCCTGTCTGTGCCTCAGGCTTCAGTTCTGTGGTATGACCTCTTTTTTTGGTTTTGGTTTTGTATAGCACTGGGGCTTGAGCTCAGGGCTTTATACTCTTGCTTGGCTTCTTCACTGAAGACTGGTAAGTTATCACTTAAACCACTTATACTTTTGTTTTTTGTCGGTTGTGGGGCTTGAACTCTGGGCCTAGGCGCTGTCCCTCAGCTCTTCAGCTCAAGACCAGTGCTCTACCACTTGAGCCACAGCGCCACTTCCAGTTTTCTGGTGGTTTCTTGGAGAGAAGGGTCTCATGGACTTTCCTGCCCAGGCTGGCTTTGAACCGTGATCCTCAGATCTCAGCCTCCTGGGTAGCTAGGATGACAGGCATGAGCCATTGGCACCCAGCTACTACTTTTATTGGTAGTAATTGGAGATTAGATTCTTACAAGCCAGGTGCTGATGATTCATTCACACCTAGCTACTCAGGAGGCCGAGGTCTGGAGGATTGCAGTTCAAAGCCAGCCCACTAAGAAAAGTCCCAGTGAGATCTTATCTCCAATGAACCACCAGAAAACCAGAAGTGGTGCTGTGGTTCAAAGTGGTAGAGCGCTCGCCTTGAGCAAAAGAAGCTCAGGGACAGCGCCCAGGCCCAGAGTTCAAGCCCCATGACAAACAATAAAAAAAAGAAACTTTCTTCTCTGCATTCAGCCGTTCTTGTATTTCTAGGGGATGAACAGTCAATACACCCGCCGCGAGATATTCTGCCAAAACACCTGTCACGAGCTCAAACGCTTCTGGGAAAGAGAGATCGGCAAGCAGACATGCTACCGGGAATCTGAAGAGAACCGTCTGGGAAAAAGCGCCCTGAGAAAGTACATCGCCCCTCTGTCTCTTTCTTTTCTTTTCGTGCCCCTCCTGAGGTTTGAACTCAGGGCCTGGGCACTGTCCCTGTGCGCTTTACCACTTTGAGTCACAGCTCCACTTCTGGTTTTCTGGTAGTTCATAATAGTCCCATGGATTTTCCTGCCCAGGCTGGCTTTGAACCCTGGTCTTCAGATCTCAGCCTTCTGAGTCACTAGGATGACAGATGTGAGCCAACACATGAGACTATTTATTCTAGGTGGCTCACACCTGTCATTCTAGGGACTCAGAAGGCTGCGATCTGAGGATCGAGGTTCAAAGCCAGCCTGGGCAGGAAACTCCATGAGACTCTTGTCTCCAATAAACCACTCAGAAAATCAGAAGTGGTGCTGTGGCTCAAGTGGTAGAGCACTAGCCTTGAGCTGAAGAGCTGAGGGACAGTGCCCAGGCCCAGAGTTCAAACCCCATAACCAACAAAAAGCAAAAAAGTTCCGAGGATCCAGATTCAAATTCTCTGCGATGAATCTCTTGTCTGCATAATGACTATGCACCCACAAACCTTTGCATAAATGAATACCTACATATAAGCATACTTTTACATCTATCATAAAGCCTTTGATGTATTTAAAACCTAGACATACCCTGCAGTCTCTAGCAGGAAACCAACAGCCCTGGAAATGAATGCATGCACCATGATTGTGTTGTTTTGTTTGTTAATTTAATTTTATTTTAAAGGCTAAGAGAAGAATGGAAACAGAGGCTGGAAACGAAGCTGAGACTGGGGAACCATCCAGAAGAGACTGAAAATCGAGCAAATGTTGGCTGAGAGCATCCTGCTACCTTGACTACGGGCGGGCACACAGTGGTTTGGTCGCACTGCAGATGGGTCCCTGGCAAAAGAAACCTTATCCGTCTTCTGCCCATCTTCCCGTACCATATTTCTTTGTTAAGTAGTATGCCATTTATTATTGCAAAGTGTCCCAAAGAGACATTTATTATTTAATATCAAAACTCCCCGCAGCCTGGCTTGTGTTCAAACAATTACAGTCTAATTGTGAAATCCACCTTGTTGGGCTTTTCTTATTTTTGGTGTTTTGTTTTGGGGGCCTATCCTGGGGGCGCTGTCCCTGAGCTCTTTGGCTCAAAGCGGGTGCTCTACCACTTGAACCACATAGCTCCACTTCCGGTTTTCTAGTGGTTCATTGAGAGAAGAGTCTCACAGACTTTTTTCTTCCCCCGGGCTGGCTTTGAACCGCTATCCTCAGATCCTCAAGCCTCCTGATTGGCTGAGATGACCGGCGTGAGCCACCAGAGCTAGAGTCTGCTGAGAAATTCTCAATAGAATAACTCTATTCACACTGACGGCTGGGCGACTGGGGCATGAATGATTTTGAATTCCTAGCCAAGAGCTAGCTTAGCTTCATGAGTTATTCAACATGAAACAGACCAGTGTCAGTGGCTAAAACACAGAGGAAATTTTTATCTGAACGCTTCCTAAGCAGGAAGCTCGCTCTTTCTTTTTTGCCAGGCCTGGGGCTTGAACTCAGGGTCTGGGCATGGTCCATGAATTTCCTTCTGCTCTACCACTTGAGCCACAGTGCCACTTCTATGGATGTGGTACTGAGGACTTGAACCCAGGGCTTCATGCATGCTAGGCAAGCACTCTACCACTGAGCCACCTTCCCAGCCCACCACTTCTGGCTTTTTTATTTTTATTTTTATTTTTATTTTTTTTTTGTCGGTCATGGGGCTTGAACTCTGGGCCTGGGCGCTGTCCCTCAGCTCTTGAGCTACAGTGCCACTTCCGGTTTTCTGGTGGTTTATTGGAGATAGGAGTCTCACGGTCTCTCCTGCCCGGGCTGGCTTTGAACCGCGATCCTCAGATCTCAGCCTCCTGAGTACTAGGATTACAGGCGTGAGCCACCAGCGCCCGGCTTCTGGCTTTTTTAGTAGTCAGTTGGAATCTCCTGGCATTTCCTGCCCCCAAAGGCCTCCAACCACGATCCTCAGATCTCAGCCTCCTCAGTAGCTAGGATTATAGGCGTGAGCCACCAGCGCCCGGCTTCTGGCTTTTTTAGTAGTCAGTTGGAATCTCCTGGCATTTCCTGCCCCCAAAGGCCTCCAACCACGATCCTCAGATCTCAGCCTCCTCAGTAGCTAGGATTATAGGCATGAGCCACCAGTGCCCAGCCTGCCTGCCTGCCTGCTTTTCTTCGTTTTGCTTTTTGCCAGTTAATTGGGAGATAAGAGAATCTCATAGTTATTTTCCCCCCCCCTTCCTTCCTGTCTGGGCTGGCTTTGAACTGCGATCCTCTAGATCTCAGCCTCCTCCTGAGCGGCGTGAGCCACCGAAGCCTAATTATGCTGGGGTGGAGGGTTAGGGGGTGATGTTTGAACTCAGGAAAGATGCTGTGTCCTGGCTTGTTCCTCTAGCACCCCCTACTGGCTGGAAGTGGATGTGCTTGCGGGAGGCCGATTTCTTTGCACAGGTTACCCTAGTGATTGCGTGCTTGAACAGACCCCAAAAAGAGGTCTGGGCTGCATCTGAAAACAGCAGGTGAGTGACCAGTGGAAGAACTCGGTTCCACCAGCCAGGAACTACACACCCCTGTCATCCTAGCTGCTCAGGAGGCTGAGATCCAGAGATGGTGGTTCAAAGCCAGCCCTGGATGGGGAAAGTCTGTGAGACTCTTTTATCTCCAAGGAACCAGAAGGGAAAATTCCAGAAGTGAAGGAGTTAGCTCAAACCTTGAGTGAAAAAATATCCAAGTAGGAGCTCAAGGCCCTGAGTTCAAGCCCCAGAACAGGCACATATACAAACAATAAAATACAACCAAAGGTTAGATGCTCAATAAAAATAAGGTCATATACAAATAAGATAAGCCAGGCCTCAGTGGGAGGCTCATACCTGTCATCCTAGCTACTGAGGAGGCTGAGATCTGAGGATCGCGGTTCAAAGCCAGCCTGGGCAGCAAAGTCAGTGAGACTCTCATCTCCAATGAAACACTGGACCGTGGAGCTGGGGCTCTGTTTAGTGTGGCAAAAGGTAAGGCTGCCCCACAGGAGTGAACCTCTTTTGGTGTGTGTGTGTGTGTGTGTGTGTGTGTGTTGATCTCAGTATTAAATTCAAGAACTGGGCACGGTCCCTGATCTTTGTTGCTCAGGACTAGTGGTGCTCTACCACTTGAGCCACAACTCCATTTCCAGCTTTTCTGAGTGGTTCATTGGAGATCAGAGTCTCATGGGCATTTCGCACCCAGGCTGGCTTTGAACCATGATCCTCAGATCTCAGCCTCCTGAGTAGCCCGGATGAAGGGGGCACGCCACCCATTGCCTGGCTTGCTTTCTCTTCCAATTTCCTAAGACCTAGGTGAGTTGAGATGTTGTTGGAACCAGGGCTGGAACTCTTCGGGGGTGGTCTGTCAACATTTCTAGCTTGATAGTGTTACCTCCTACATTTCCTGTGTGAAATCAGTAGCCACGAGGAGAAGGATTGGTTTGAATAAAGTTGCATTTTTTAAAACTTAAAAAAAAAAAAAAGAATAGGGTGTGGATCAGTAGCCGATGGCAAATTACCAGCTCCAAAAGCCACAGCTGCTACATCTCTCCCTCACCCCCCCAGAGTCAAAGACGCCACCACGTCCTAGAAAGAAGCAAAAAGGTCCCTGAGCTTTCTTTCTCTCCTCCCCCCCCCCCCACCAAGACCACCATTCTACCACACTGAGCCACAGCGCCACTTCCAGTTTTCTGGTGATTCGTTGGAGACGAGAGTCTCACAGACGTTCCTGCCTAAGCTGGCCTCAAACTGTGATCCTCAGACTGCAGCCTCCTGAGGATGACAGGTGTGAGCCGTTAGCACCCGGCTCGGCTCTTATATATTTTATTTTATTTATATAGGAATGTGACCGGGATGCCGGAGCTTCCCCAAATCCCAGGATTCACAGGCAGGCGGTGCAATTAGATGTCTTCCTTCTAGATTTGTCTGTAGCAAGACTGGGAGAGAAAGATACAGGGGTATTAAGAGCTGAGACTAAGAGGCCTGCTGGCCTGCCTGCTCCCCACTATCCTGCCAGGAAAATAGCCTGCTGTTTTTCATGATTCTTCCTGATGCCATCGGGGGGGGGGGTCCTCTGAGGTGGGACGGTGGGGGGGAAGCCCCTCCTAGGACCTCACACAAAGGTGAGTGCATTCCTCCTCCCCAGTGGAGTCTGGAGTAGGGAGGATCAGTTCCAGAGGCCCCGGCCTCCACGCCTCACCTCCAGAGTCGTGAGGAGGAAATCGTAGAGGCCGCCCAGGTGGCTAGGATCCATCATGTCCCGGATGAGGTGGAGCTCAGCTCCCAGATTCAGGATCCTGGACAGACGGAGGGGAAAGGAGGATGGTACCATGGTGAACAGGCACCGTATAGCTGCAGAAGGAATCCTGCCTGAGGCCCTGGCACCCTGTGGCTCACGCCTGTCATCCGGGAGACTCGGGAGGCTGAGACCTGGAGGATCGCCATTTGAGGCCAGCCCAGGCAGGAAAAGTCCATGAGACTCTTCTTCTCCAAATGAACTCACCGGGCCCGCACCAGCACGTAGATAAGTAGAGGCAGAAGCTCATCCATGGTCAACCTGTGTTCTTGACCCATGACCCTCATCACGGTGGCCTCGATTTCCCTATAGGTCTTCTCCAACACCTGCAGCTTTTCCCAGGGATCTACGGTGGTGCTGTAGTTGTTTTTTTGGGGGGGGGAGGGAAGGACAGTAATGGGGTTCAGGCCAAGACCCTGGGCCTTGGCAAATGCCCACCCAACCCCCAAGGACAGAGACTCACAGGACCTTCTGTAGGAGCTCCGTGGCTGACAGGAAACATTTCTCTCTGACAAAGGAATATCTCTGTGGGAGAAATGAGGGGGCCGGGGGTGAAGTCCATCCACTTGAGCTCTGCCTGGATACCCCAGTGATCTAAAGCACTCCCCCTGTCTCCTGTGGCTTGCTTGATTGACTGATAGATTGATGTCTGTGTCAGTACTGGGACTTGAACTCAGGACCTGGGTGCTGTTCCCTGAGCTTTTGTGCTCAAGACTAGTGCTCTATCACTTGAACCACAGCTCCACTTCCAGCTTTTTTGTGTGTGTGGGGGTTAAATTGGAGATTAGAGTCTCATGGATTTGTTTTTTTCTGCCCAGGCTGGCTTTGAACCCTGTGATCATCAGATCTTAGCCTCCTGAGTAGCTAGGATGAATCAACAAAGTCCGGCCAACACCTCCATTTCTTTCGCTTTTATTTTATTTTATTTTCAGATTGTGGTGTGTGCTAGCTTTTGCCCAGCAAAATTGATCTCAGAAACTGAGATCCTAGCCAGGCGCCAGTGGCTCCCGCCCGTCATCCTAGCTTCTCAGGAGGCTGAGATCTAGAGGATCGCAGTTCAAAGCCAGCCCAGGCAGGAAAATCCATGAGACTCTTCTCTCCCATGAACCACCAGAAAACTGGAAGTTGAGCAAAAGAACCTCAGGGCAAACGAGGGGTTCAGCCTCCCTTTTTGGGGATACGGGGGGGCCCTCAGGGGTTGCCCACTCACCTCATTGCTCGTCAATTTGATGTCGCTGAGGGGCCAAAGATACCTGAAGTTTTAAAAGAAAGAGAGAATGGGAGGCATCGCCCATCTTATTGGGCAGGGACTGAGTTCAGAGCTGTGGTTCAAGTGGTAGAGCGCCAGCCTGAAGCACAAAAGCTCAGGGACAGCACTCAGGCTCTGAGTTCAAGCCCCAGGACTGGCGCTTGCGCACACACAATCACTAGGGAGCAAAGTTGTTTTAGAGATGGACACCCCAGTTAGCTCTTGCCTGACCTGCACCTAGAACCCTCCATTTTCTCTTCTGCACTCACAGTCCTAGAGCTCAGCCTCAGGAGTGGGTTGAGTTTGGTCCATGGTGCTTAGCATTTAGGATAAGCTCCACACACCAAACCTAAGAGACGTGGCAAAGTCTTTTCCTGAAGCTATGGGGGAAGGAGATGCCAGGGGCTGAGTTCAAACAGTATAAGCCTTGAATGGCTGGAACCCCTGGATCCAGCCCTACCTGAAGTCCTAGCCCTAGCAGGAGGTGATCGATGATCAACACCCCACACACACACACACCCACTTTTGTGTTGAAAATGGGCTTTGTCTGCTCCAAGAGAGCACTTGCCCAAGAGGCTTACTTCTGTACATCCAGGAATTCCAGCAGCTTGGTGTCAGAAAGCAGGCCCAGTTTGGTGAGGCTCTGGCTGTAACAGGTGTCTTCTTTCTTGTGGAGAAGCAGGTAGAGGGTGAAGAGCTCCCCGTAGCAGCTGGGCAGCAAGAGGGGTAGCATCACACTGTGCACCTGCAGGTTTCTGAGAAGCCGGAAATTGGGAGGATGAGAGCTAAGGATTGTGCTAGGAAGGCCAGCCTAAGCAGGAAAGGTCATGAGACTTATCTCCAAGGAAGCATCAAAAAGCAGGAAGTAGTTCTATGGCTCAAACGGTAGAACGCTAGCCTTGAGTAAATAAAGCTTAAGTTCAAGCCCCAGAACTGGCACACACATTAAAAAAGAAAAATCCCTAACACCTCTCTGTCAGCATCTGTGCCCAAGAGTCTCTCTCTCTCTCTCTCTCTCTCTTGCCTGTCTTGTGTGCTTATAAATAGGATTTAAACTCAGGACCTCACATGATGCTGGTCCTCTACCACTTGAGCCACACTGCCACTTCAGGCTTTTTGCTGGTTAATGGTAGAGTCTCATGGATTTTTTTTTTCTTCCCCAAGTAATCCTGCCGGGTGCCAGTCATCCTAGCTTCTCAGGAGGCTGAGAGCTGAGGATCACCGTTCAAAACCAGCCCGGGCAGGAAAGTCTGTGAGACTCTGATCTCCAATGAACCACCAGAAAACCGGAAGTGGCGCTGTGGCTCAAGTGGTAGAGCGCTTGCCTTGAACGGAAGAGCTTTGGTGACAGCATCCAGGCCCTGAGTTCAAGCCCCACAACCGACCCAAAAGACAAACAAAATTCTTAATCCTCCCAGCTTTCTCTAAGCAGGAACGACCTAATGATGAAATGGAAAATAGGCTTGAGGCCTAGAGAGATACAACTTCAGTAGGATCTCTCTTCTGTGTGACCCCCAAACCTCCCAAAGAAGCACACTCCCCCCACCCCAAGTCCCACTGGTCAATCACCTGGTCTTTTCATCTTCCTCTTCCAGGGTCTGACCCTTGCTCTTCAACGCCACCTGTAGCAGACCCCTGCAAACCAACCAGAGATCACGCTGACACAGAACCAAGGCCGCCATCTTTTCCAGCACCAAAACACCAGAGTGGGTGGCTCTAACTTCCAGAGCTGACCCAGGGCCCAGGGAGAAGGGTTCCACCCGCCCTCTTGACAGCAGAAGAAACTATCTAGAATGTTCCATGGGCTCATGGCTTGGCCTGGGATAAGAGAGGAGGGCTTGAAGGATTGTGGTTCTTCAGAGTGAGAGGGGTTTTATTTTGGATTAGTAGTAGTAGTAGTAGTAGGTGTGTGTGTGTGTGTGTGTGTGCTGGTCCTGGAGCTTGAACTCTGGGCCTGGGCACTGTCCCTGAGCTCTTCAGCTCAAGGCTAGAGCCCAACCACTTGAGCCACAGCGCCACTTTCGGTTTCCTGATGGTTCCTTGGAGAGAAGAGTCTCTTACGGCCTTTCCCTGCCCGGGCTGGCTTTGAACTGCGATCCTCCAGATCTCAGCCTCCTGAGTAGCTAGGATGACAGGCGGGAGCCACCGAGGCCAGGCCAGGCCAGCTGGGGGAGCATTATGGGTCAGGGCTGGGATTTTAGGAGCCAGCTACGCACGGGCTCCCTGAGCTCAGCTCCATCTGAGCTTAGCCTCTGCATTGCTATGGGTTCGAGGCTGGCCTCACCTGCACAGGCCTTACCTGTAGGCTGCCCAGAGGCCCCGAGCATGTTGCTTCACCTGGTCCTGGGCCAGGTCCTGCAGGTGTTTATTGGCCCCCACGCCTGTGTACGTTGCCTGGAAAGTCAGCATGAGCTTCGAGAGCAGCTTTCCCAAAGGATGCTGGGAGTCGCACAGAGCCTGAGCCAATGGGAGAGACCAGATGGAAAAACACTCAGGCCGGGCCCTGGTGGTGGCTCCCGCGCCTGTCATCCTTGCTCCTCAGGAGGCTGAGATCTGGGAGATCGCAGTTCAAAGCCAGCCCGGGCAGGAAAAGGCTGAGAGACTCTTCTCTTCAAGGAACCACCAGAAAACCAGAAGTGGCACTGTAGGCTCAAGGGATAGAGCACTTAGCCTTGAGTTGAAGAGCTGAGGGATAGCGCCCAGGCCCTGAGTTCAAGTCCTACAACAGACCAAGTAAACCCCCAAACCTAAAAAAACCACTCAGGTTTTGGAGTGAGCCCCCAATTTGCTCCCATTTCCCAGATGGGAACGCCAAGGCCGTCCACCATCCCAACCTAGCAGCTTCCTTCCCACTTAGCCCTTCTTCCTCTTGGAGCTGAGGGCAGCCATGGAGGGGACCTGCTCTGGGGGTTCTTCACCTTCCTGAGGAAGGGTTGCAAGGCCTCAGGCTCTCGGTGTCGCAGCACATCTTCCAAGATGTCTCTCATCGCGCCTCGACTGTCCTCTGGGTGGCTTCTGGGGACATCCATGAGAGCCTTTCCTTATCCCTCCCACCCCCCCACCACACCCATGGGGCCTGCACAAAGTGGGATTCCCCCCCAGCCCCCCGCTTACCTCTGACAGCACAGATTGTCCTGGGAACTTTGCAGCTCCTTGGCTCTCTGGATGTGGAACCCCAGAAAAGCCTCCTGCAGGTCTTCGGGGCAGCCCTCACGCACGAAGGCCCAGAAGGGGTCAAAGACCCCCTGCCAGTGGCCATTGGCGGGCATGGCGCCCACCCCCAACTGCCTAGAAGTGGGGAGAGGCGTGAAAGGGAAGAGATGGAGGTGGGGATGGGCAGGATTTGGTGCCAGGGAACCAGCTTGGTTCCCCAGAAATGGTAGGGGGTAGGTGGGGGGGGAGGGGGGTAAGGAACATGTGGGGCACACAGCAGGGGGCCGACCTCCAAGACTCCTGGAGGTGAAAGAGAAGCAGAGAAGAGGAGGAGGGGAGAGGAGGAAGAGGAGAGGGAGGAAGAGGAGAGGGAGGAAGAGGAGAAGGAGGAAGAGGAGGAAGAAAACGAGGAGAAGGAGGAGGAAGATGAAGAGGGGGAGGAGGAGAAGGAAGCAGAGGAGGAAGAGGAAGAGAAGGAAAAGGAAGAGGAAGAAGAAAAGGAGGAGGAGGAAGAAGGGAGGAGGAGGAAGAGGAGGAAGAAAAGGAGGAGGAGGAGGAAGAGGGGGAGGAGGAAGAAGAAGGGAGGAGGAGGAAGAGGAGGAGAAAGAGGAAGAAGTGGAAGGGGAGGAGGAGGAGAAGAGGGGGAGGAGGAAGAAGAAGGGAGGAGGAGGAAGAGGAGGAGAAAGAGGAAGAAGTGGAAGGGGAGGAGGAGGAGAAGAGGGGGAAGAGGAGGAGGAGGAGGAAGAGAAGGAGAAGGAAGAAGAGGAGGAGGAGGAAGAGGAGGAGAAGGAAAAGGAGGAGGAGGAAGAAGAAGGGAGGAGGAGAAAGGGGAGGAAGAGGAGGAGGAGGAGGAAGAGGAGGAGGACGGGGGGGGAGGAGACATATTCCGCCATGAAGAAGAGACAGGCCCCAGAAACATCCTGGGTGGGATGGAGAAGAGGAGACGGTGGAGCTGGGGAAGCCGAAGGTCAAGATGGATCAAGAGAGACCCAGCGGCCAGGGCCCGGGTGCCTCGGCCCACGCCTGTCATCCTGGCTACTCAGGGTGGCTGAGATCTGCAGGATGGTGGTTCGAAACCAGCCCCACAGCAGGGCAAAGTCCATGAGACTCGTATCTGCAACGAACCACCCAAAAGCCAGACGTGGAGCTGTGGCTCAAGTGGTAGAGCACCAGCCTTGAGCCAAAAGAAAAAAGGGAACAAATCAAAGGCTCAAGGACAGCGCCCAGGCCAGCTCTCACCTCTTCGAGGTGCTGCTTGGATCTGGGGAGAAGGCACTCGTGTCCAGTACCCCTTGTGTATATAATCCTTTTCCAGTCCCTCGTGCAAACCAACCCTCCAGCACGAAGCCATCCGGCAAGGTGACCTTACCCTGAGAGGAGAGAAAAGAGTTCAGAGAGATCTGTCCATCCACATGTCTGTCCATCTACTTGTAACCAGGCCTAGACCAGACCATGGGGGGTTTAAGAATTGATTTGTCATTCTAGCTCCTCAGGAGGCTGAGATCTAGAGGATGGTAGTTCAAGGCCAGCCTGGGACAGGAAAGTCCAGGAGACTCTTTTCTCTCCAACGAACCACCAGAAAAACCAGAAGTGGTGCTGTGGCTCAAGTGGTAGAGCATTAGCCTTAACCGAAAGAGCTCAGGGACAGCGCCTAGGCTCAGAGTTCAAGCCCCACGACTGACGAAAAAAAAAAAAAACCCATCCCAGGATCCATGTCAAACTGCCCCCCAATTTGGAATGGCCCAGGAAGGCCCACCCACCGACACCTTCACCCCTCCATCCAGAGATGGAGAAGGAGCTTCCGGGACAGAGCGGAAGTCTGGGTCTCTGTGGCCTCGGCCTCCGTGGCCTCGGCCTCCGTGGCCTCGGCCTCCGTGGCCTCGGCCTCTGTGGCCTCGGCCTCCGTGGCCCTCACCTTCCCCCTGAGCATCAGGTCTCTCGTGAAGGTGCCTTCATGCAAGGAGTCGTCTTCGAACAGGAGGACACCTGGGCCCTTGGGAGGAAGCCAGGGAGAAGAGTACAAGAGTGGGACTTGGGGTGGGGAGGGCTGGGAAATGGGGTGGGGAGAGGAGGTGGGCCCTGACCATGGGAACAGGGGCCCTGAGCTCTGCCACACACACACACACACACCCTCCTCCCCCAGGACTGTGTCAAAGTGAGGGCCTCAGCCGGGCACTGTGGCTCACGCCTGTCATCCTAGCTACTCAGAAGGTTGAGATCTGGAGGATCGCAGTTCAAAGCCAGCCCTAGGCAGGAAAGTCTGTGAGACTCTTGATCGCCAATGAATCACACACACACACACACACACACACACACAGAGCCAGAAATGGAGCTGTGTGGCTCTGGTGACAGGCTTGTGCAAAAATAAAAAGCTCAAGGATAGCGACCAGGCCCTGAGTTCAAACCTCCGGACTAGCACAAAAACAAAGTGAGATTCTTCCCTTGGCCTGTTAGAACTCATGTTTCTCATGGGGGGAGTGGGGGTTTCTCACTGGCTCTTGACCTTGGTTCCTTCAACTTCCCCAATCCCCCCCCCCCCCCCCCTTCCAGTCTTTTCAGGAAGCTACTGGAAGCTTCTACTACTCGAGCCACAGCTCCACATGGCTGGCTTTGTGCCAGTTCATTGAAGATAAAGAGTCTCACTGATTTTCCTCCCCCCGGTTGGCTTTGAACTACGATCCTCTGGATCTCAGCCCCAGCGCTTCTGTAAGAGCCACTGACTGATTGGGGGTGTTGCTGGGGAAACTGAGGCTGGGAAGAGCCGACTATCTGGCGGCCAGCAGGTTTGGTATGGAAACCCAGCAACGCTCCCTGTCCACCCCACAGGGAAAGGGCTCACCACATACCGCCATCTTGTCCATCTGGAAGGTTCCCTGGTAGCAGATCCCGGCCTGGGTGACCAAAATCCCAGGGCCGTGGTGCTGGTCGGTCTGCCACCAGCCAATGTACCGCTCACCCCTGGGGAAGAGGTGAATCAGGCTTTTCCCCCCCAGAACCTCAGTCTGGGGGTACAACGCCTGAATCCACTCAGCTCAGACTTGGGGCAGATGAGAACTTGGGGTGAAGGAGGAGAAGGGAAACATGCTGGGGGAGGAGGGGGGGATACTTGAGAGATTTGAAAGGGCAATGAGCCGTTTAGAAAGTTGAGGGGCCGGGCACTGGTAGCTACTCAGGAGGCTGAGATCTGAGGATCGCGGTTCAAAGCCAGCCCGGGCAAGAAAGTCCGTGAGACTCTTATGTCCAATGAACCACTCAGAAAACTGGAAGTGGCTCTGTGGCTCAAGTGGTAGAGCGCTCGCCTTGAACGAAAGAGCTCAGGGTAGCACCCAGGCCCTGAGTTCAAAGCCCCAGAACTGACAACAACAACAACAACAACAACAAATCCAACAAAGCTCAGAGGTAACTGCCAAGCCCTGAGTTCAAATCCTGGGGCTGGCGCCACAAATAAAAGCAAAACCAACCTCTGAGGACCTAGAGCACGGTGCTGCTGCTCATTCAATCAATGACTCACCCGTCCATGTCATCCTGGACGCCGAAGCCGTTCCTCTGGCCTCTCTCCCAATGGCCCGTGTACCTGAAAGCTTGGGGGGCAGGAGGTGCCCTTTCCAGGACCCCAAATCCATGCCTCAGGTCATCCTGGAAGTAGCCCTTATAGGTTTCACCAGTGCTGTACCTGGGAAGGAACCAGTGTCCTTGAGCTGGCTGGCTGCTCATTGGTCCAAGGGGGACACGCCCCTTCCCTAGCCTCACCCCTATCCATCGGGTCTACTCACTCGCACATGCCATAGCCGTGCTTGCGGCCTTCCCTCCAGTGGCATTTGTAGCAGTCGAATTTGTCCTCTGCGGCTCCGGGTAGCAGGAGGATGCCGAAGCTAACCACCGCAAGGGATGATGGGATGAAGAAGTTGAACTGTTCCAGCCACTTGGGGAGGGGGCCTCCCAAAGGAAGGGGGGACCCTACACATACACCCATGCATGCACACACTCATGCACGCACACACGCATGCACGCACACTCATGCATGCACGCACGCACACACTCATGCATGCATGCATACACTCGTGCATGCACACACATGAATGCACGCATGCACGCATGCACGCACACACTCGTGCATGCACACCTGTGCACACATACATGCATGCATGCATGTGCATATGCACTCATACATGCACACACATGAATGCACGCATGCACACATGCATGCACACATGCATGCATGCACACATGCATGCATGCACACGACACATTGACACACATATGTGCACACATACACGCACACACATATGCACGCATGCACCCACATGTACATGCATGCATACACATGTACACACACATGCTTGCATGCACACAACACATGGACACACATAGGTGAACATATACATGCACCCACGCATATGCGCGTACACACATGTACATACATCCACACACATGTACACATACACACATGCACGCACACACTCATATGCATGCACACACATGCACACACATGCATGCACATGCACACAGACTCACCCATGTTCCAGACCATGGTGGAAATGTCCCACATGATTCCGCCCATCCGGCCATTTCAGGGTCCCCCTAGAATGGGGGGGGGTGGACAGGGAGCGGGGGGGGGCAATCGGACCATGAAAACCTCGGCCTCAGCTGGTGGCAGATGTCCTCAGAGCCCTCCTCCCTCACTCCCTTCCCTCCGCCCAACCACCACCCCAATCTCTCTCCAACTAGACCTGGCCTCAACCCTTCCCCCTTACCCACCCCCCCGTCCCCAAATTCCCTGGACACCCCCCTTCCCTGGCATGGTTGTCCCTTGAGGGGTTTTCACTGCACTCCAAAGACAAGATTGAACCCCCTCCCCAACACACACACACACCACACACACACACACACACACACACACACACACACATCTGGTTCCCTTTTTCTCTTGGCTGACAGGAAGCTCAAAGGTTCAAACCCCAGCAGCTCAACTGCTGATCCATCCACGGGCTTAATCGGGTCTAAATTCCCCTGAGACAATAATAATGCCCCCCTCCTCCGCTTCTTCCCCCTCCACCGCGTCAGAGGTCACTCACTTGCCTTGTGGCCTGCCCCGGTGCCATTCACCGTCATAGCTCGCCCCGCACAGCCGGCCCTCCTGGCGGAAGGTGTAGGCCGCGCGGCGGTGGGCAGGAGGTACTGCCGGCTCCAAGTCTGACCCCAGCCCTGGAAAGTCTTTCTTTCCCCGCAGGGCCTGACCCACAGCCATGAACATCTTCCACCTCCAGATCACCTGATGGCGGATGGATGAAGAAGACCAGACTCGGAAGAGGTCTTCAGGAATACTTGGCTCTCACGAAGCACGCTGCCACCCCACAGGTCTGAGAGCTTTGTCACCTGGTTCTTGCTAACCCAGTGGGACAGAATGGAACAGCTCAAGACACTGATTTTGGAGGACTTGAACTCAGGGCCCGGGCGCTGTCCCTGAGCTTCTTTTTGCTCAAGGCTGGCGCTCTACCACTTGAGCCACGGCGCCACTTCTGGTTTTCTGGTGGTTCATGGGAGATCAGAGTCTCATGGACTTTCCTGCCCCCCGGGGCTGGCCTCGAACCCCCATCCTCAGATCTCAGCCTCCTGAGTAGCTAGGATGACACAGGCGTGAGCTGTCGGGGCCCGGCTCGAGGCCCTGATTCGTGTCTCCACCTACCTGGTCCTGGGGGTCTCTGGCACGCAAGGAGAATTCATCTTCGGGGGTGGCGATGAGACATTCACACCTAGACGGCAGACGGAGATGATAACTAGGCCCCTCACCACCACCCCCCCATCCAGGTGGAGGGGTGTGGGGAGGGGGGGTAGGGGAGGGGTGCTACCACTTACTCATCCTGCCCCGAGTCAACCCACACCAGCTTCAGATCAAAAGTGTGGATTCTGTGCCCCTGGGAACAAGAAACAGACCAACCAGTGGCACCCCAGATCCCGCCGCCCCTCACCCGCTCTCTGAAAAGGTTACCCCTCAACCCTGTCTACAACCCTGACCGCATCTCAGGACGGATCCGTCCAATCCCCACCTCCCACACCCTCAGGCGGCTGGTAGAATGTTCTAGAAACTTCTGGAAGCTTCTCTCAGGCTCCTCCTGCTTTAGAACGACTGTTAAGCCTTCCTGTGTAAGTCCCCCTACAGACCACGTTCATGAGTTCCTAATTCTCCATTGTATGCATCCTGAGTGTACCCAAAACTTCTTTACTTTGTTCTTTTGTTCTTTATGTTGTTGGTGGTGGTGGTGGTGGGGTTTGAACCCAGGACCTGTGCTCTGTCCCTAAGCTTTTTGTCTGTCTGTCTGTCTGTCTTTCTTTCCTTCCTTCTTTTTCTTTCTCTTTCTTTCATTTCTTTCTTTCCTTCCTTCTTCCTTTCTTTCTTTCTTTCCTGTCTTTTCTTCTTTCCTTCTTTCTTTTTCTTTCTCTTTCTTTCATTTCTTTCTTTCCTTCCTTCTTCCTTTCTTTCTTTCTCTTTCTTTCCTTTCTTTCTTTCCTTCTTTCTCTTTCTTTCTTTCCTTCTTTCTTTCTTTCTTTCTCTTTCCTTCCTTCCTTCCTTCCTTCCTTCCTTCCTTCCTTCCTTCCTTCCTTTCTTTCTTTCTTTCTTTCTTCCTTTCTTTTTCTCTTGCTGGTCCTGGGGCTTGAACTCAGGGCATGAGCACTCTCCCAGAGCTTCTTTTTGCTCAAGGCGGGCGCTCTACCACTTGAGCCACAGCGCCACTTCCAGCTTTTTTGGTGACTCATTAGGGATAAGAGCAGCCTCCTGGACTCTTCTATCCAGGCTGGTTTCAAACCACAATCCTCCGATCTCAGCCTCCTAGGTCGCCAGGATGGCAGGCGTGAGCCCTGGGGTGCTTGGTTCCCTTGGTCCTTTCCCACCTGACCATCAGGACCCCCCATGGGGCCCCCCCATGTCCAAGTCAGTATCATTCCCCAACCTGAAACAGCACCAGGGCGTCATCAAAAAGCAACACGCGTTCGGCACAGAGCGGAGTGACCGTCACGGGGACATCCTGGCTGTCCAGCAGGAGACGGCGAGTTGGGGTGCACAGCGCATCCTGGGGGAGGGAGAGGCACCGGACTCAGCCATGCTGGGGGAACCCTCTGGGGAGCTCCAGGAGGGTGACAGCTGCTGTCTTGTCCAAGATTGAGGTCATTTCCAGCCTCGTCCTTCTAGCAAGAGGACCTTCCCTCTCCGGGGTCCTCTGTGTACCCCAATCCACAGGCCTCCTGCCACCCCTTCCTCAGGATTCCACAGCAAATTTTGTCATTGGTGGTCCTTGAACTCAGGGCCCGGGCGCTGTCCCTCAGCTCTTCAGCTCAAGGCTTGGCGCTCTACCACTTGAACCACGGCGCCACTTCTGGATTCCTAGTGGTTCGATGGAAATCAGAGTCTCACGGTGACGTGGTAGGCCTGTCATAGCCAGGAAACGGTGGCTCACGCCTGTCATCCCAGCCACTCGGGAGGCTGAGATCTGAGGATCCCAATGCGAGGCTAGGCTGAGCAGAAAAGCCTGTGAGACTCTTCGAAGCCGCCCAAAAGCAGGAAGTGGAGCTGTGGTTCAAGCGGAGAAGCACCAGCTCGCGGAATGAAAAACGCTAAAGCACAGCACCGGGATCCTGAGTTCAAAGCCTGGTTAATCCCTGCCTCTCCCCTACGTACACATGTAGGGAAACTGAGTCAGGGACGGGCCAACCAGCAGCTCTGGCCTCAGCATTCCCCGAACTACCCCTCTGATCCCCAACTCACCCTGAGATGGCTGCTCAGGTTGTGCCAGAGACTTTGTGTGACCTCGGCCTGGAGTAATGCCTGTCTCATGAATGACTGCAGGTCCCCGAAGAGACTGATGGCTCTCATCACTGTCTTCTGGGAGGGGTGCCCCTTTAATGGCGGATGAGCAGCTGGTGAGGGTTTTGGGGGGGTCTTCCTGGAGCTTTCTCCCCACTTCTGAGATGTCTGTGCTGACCCCCAGCTGGTCAGCAGGCCTGAACTTAGGACGTGTGTGTATCTGTGTGTGTGTGTTCAAAGTCCTGAGACTTGAACTCAGGGCCTGGGTGACTGTTTCTGAGCTTTTTTATTTTTCCTCCCTAAACCTGGTGCTCTACCACTTGAACCACACCTCCCGCTCCCGGCTTTCATTGGAGGTAAGAGTCTGACTTTGAGCCTTGATCCTCCGATCTCAGCCTCCCTGACTTAGCTAGGATGCCAGCCAGCTCTGCTTCTATCGGGGTGGGGAAGGGGGGAAGCTTCCAGAAGTGATCAGGACCATCTATCTGTCTGGACAGCGCCCGTCCTCCAGATCTCCTTTTTCAGGGCGTAGTTATATTTCTCCCTCCCCCAGAACCCCAGGAGGTTCCAGTGTGGATCCAGTGTGGATCCAGGAGGATCCAGTGTGGCAGGGTCCCTCCTGAGTATAGGCTGGGGTCCCCTAAGCCCTTCCCTGGTTTTCTACAAGTTCTCCCCTCCACTGCCCGCCACCCCCCCCCCGCCACCCCCAGGCCTGGCTTACCTCCTCCAGGCTGTCCCTCAGGCGCAAGAGAAGAATCACGTACTGTTGCACGTGCTGGGTGAGGGGCTGGTGGAGCGCCTGAGCCAACATGGCTCCCACTGAGCTCTTAGGGTTCAGCCCGCAGGTCAGGATCTGCCCCAAGGCCTTCCTCTGGCCTTGCCAGTACTTGCTGTAGAACAGGAAGGACCTGGCTGGGAAGGTGGCTTAGCGGTAGAGTATTCGCCTAGCATGCATGAAGCCCTGGGTTCGAATCCTCGGTACCCCATCCCCAGAAAAAGCTGGCAGTGGCGCTGTGGCTCAAGTGGTAGAGCGCCATCCTTGAGCAAAAGAAGCTCAGGGACAGCGCCCAGGACCCGAGTTCAATCCCCAGGACTGGTAAAAACAAAAAAAGGGGGAAGGACCGCATGCAGCCTCCCCTCCCCCCCAAATCCAAATAATAATTTGGGGTCCCCCTGGTCCCCGCTTCACCTCTTCCTCTTTATCACACTCTGGAAGGCTGTGGCGACAATGCAGTTCGTATAGGACTCGATGTACCTTCAGGTGACAAAAGAGACATCCTGCAAGACCTGATTAACCCCCCCCCCCAAACCTTCCCCTCCCCGTCCACTTTAGCTCGAGCCTCTGGGGAACAAGGGTGAGAGGAAGGTCCCCAGATTCCATCTTTTTCTTGTGTGTGTCTATTTGGGGGAGGGGGTTAGACTAGCATTCTACCACGTTGTGTCACAGCTCTGATTCTGGGGTCTGGGTGGTTTGTTGGAGATAAAGAGTCTCCAATGGGCATGGGGGGGAGGGCTCACGCCTGTCATCCTAGTTACTCAGGAGGCTGAGATCTGAGGATCGCAGTTCAAAGCCAGCCAGGGCAGGAATAGGCCATGAGACTCTCACTTCCAATGAACTACCAGGAAACCAGAAGTGGCACTGTGGCTCAAGTGGTAGAGCGCTCGCCTTGAGCTGAAGAGCTCAGGGACAGCGCCCAGGCCCAGAGTTCAAGCCCCACGACCGACAAAAAAAGAGTCCCACTGGCTTTCCTGCCCAGGCTGGCTTTGAACCACGATCCTCAGATCATGTTTGGGATGAAGAACATGAGCCCACCAGCACCCGTCTTTCGAGTTCGAACTCCAGGCAAACCGTGGTAACGCAACAGCTAAGAGAGGTGTCCCCTCGACCCCCGCCACCCCCCCCCAGTACCAGCCTGCCTTGATGGGCCCATCTTACTCCACGTGGACTTCCAGGACTCGATCAGCCTTGCTCAGCAACAGCAAGGTCTCCAGGCTGCAGGATGGATGCTGCAGCCTGTGTCTCAGCGAACGGAGGCTCTGGTCTGTCACTTCCCACAGGCGCTGGGTGCACTGGTGCAGCCGCTGCAGGAGCCGCATGCATTCCCTGCTCCGAGGCTCCAAGTGCTCTGGTTCGACCAGGACCAAAGGCACACAATGGAACCACCGTCCAGCTTGGGAGAGGGGCACTAGCGCCCTCTAGAGCTCATCAGGGGAAAGGCAGGAATGGAACTGGGGAAGCATCTTATGGGAGTCAGGGGTGTGTGTGTGTGTGTGTGTGTGTGTGTGTGTTCTTCACCAAGCAAAGGTCATCCTCCCCCACCCCCACCTTGTGTGTGTCTCTGGCCTTCTCGACTCTCACGCTTGTTCATCCTAGCTACTCAGGAGGCTGCGATCTGAGGATCGTAGCTCGAAGCCAGTCTGGGCAGGAAAAGTCTACGAGACTCTGATCTACAATCAACTAGCCAAAAACAAATTTAAAAATCCAGAAGTGGAGGTGTGCCTCAAGTGGTTGAATACGAGCCTTGAGCCAGGGCACCCGTGGCTCATGCCTGGCATCCTAGCTCCTCAAGAAGCTGAGATCTGAGGATCACGGTTCAAAGCCAGCCCGGGTAGGAATGTCTGTGAGACTCTGATCTCCAATGAACCACTGGAAGTGGCACTGTGGCTCAAGTGGGAGAGGGCTTGCCTTGAGCTGAGTTCAAGTCCCACAACTGACAAAAAAAAATAAAAGGCAGCAATACAATGATGCCCAATCCCACTTGTGGCTAAGTAAACTGTGGCTTAGAGTGTCCCATGTAGTAGGACTTTGGTCCCTTGGGGGTTATTCCTGTGTCCCCTGCCCTGCCCTGTAGATACTCAGACTCACCGGCACAGAGAAGAGGCTGGAGGATGAGGCTGTCGATTCGGGCCAAAGTGGCTGAAAACAATTCCTCCAGCTGAAGCAGGGCAGTCTCCTCAGAGCTAGCCATGGTCCCAGGCTTCCGCTTCTGCAAAGACCACAGACCAGGCTAGCCAGCAACTGAGCAAGACACAGGAGCATTCTGCCCATCAGCACCTCCCTCTCCCCCCACCCCTGACCCAGAGCCCATAACTGCACACAATGGAACATGTTGGACAAGTTCAACTTTGTGTGTGTGTGTGTGTGTGTGTGTGTGTAGGGGAGGGCTTTGAACTCAGGGCCCAGGTGCTGTTTCCTTAGGTCTTTCCACCCAAGGTTGGCACTCTACCACTTGAACCATACCTCCATTTGAGGCTTTTCGATGGTTCACTGGAGCTAAAGAGTCTCACAGAATTACCAGGCCCGTAGTGGCTTCAAATCTCAATCCTCAGATCTCAGCCTCCTAAGCGGCGAAGATGACAGGGGTGAGCCACCGGTACTCTGTCTTCAAGTTCAATTTTGGCCTGGCCATTCTCTTGTTCGAACATCAGTAGCTGGACCCTGGTAGCTCACATCTTTTTTTGCTACGAAGGAAACTGAGATCTGAGGATCGCGGTTCAAAGCCAGCCCGGGCAGGAAAATCTGTGAGACTCTTATCTTCAATGAACCACCAGAAAACTGGAAGTGGTGCTGTGGCTCACAGTGTTAGAGGTCTAACCTTGAGCAAAAGAGTTCAGGGACAGTGCCCAAGCCCTGAGTTCAAGCCCCACAACTGATTTCCCCTCCAAAAAATTCAGCCCTACATTTCAGGTTCTTTGGATACTAGCTACCTCTGCCCAAGGGGCTCAGGAGACTTTGGAATTGAGGATGTGCTGGTAGAGATGTCTGGCCTTGCCTAAGAAGCCATGGCTCAAGGCTCCTGTTGTTACCCAATAGACCTGCATTAGCAGAAAGGGCTAAGATAGAAGCCAAGTCTAACTGATGACAGTGACAGATACTAAGCTAAGGCAAAATGAGCTAGGTACTAGGTGACTCACGCCTGTCATTCATTGTAGGTGCTCAGGAGGCTGAGATCTAAAAGATTAAAGTTCAAAGCCAGGAGCTGGGAAGGTGGCCTAGTGGTAGAGTGCTTGCCTAGCATGCATGAAGCCCTGGGTTCGATTCCTCAGTACCACATACACAGAAAAAGGCAGAAATGGCGCCGTGGCTCAAGGGGTAGAGCGCCAGCCTTGAGCAAATGAAGCTCAGGGATAGCAGCCAGGCCCGGGAGTTTAAGCCCTAAGACTGGCAAGAACCAAAAATCAAAAAGGAGCAAAGTTCAAAGCCAATCTGGGAAGGAAAATCCCTGAGGGAACTCTTATCTCCAATTAATCACCAAAAAAGCCCCAAGTGAAAGTGTTGAACACACACACACACACACACACACACACACACACACACACACACTTTCATCTGCTCAAATGATCTGAACACAAAGCTCAGGACAAGTTGTGAAAGGGTTTTTCTGGGGGAGAGGGGAGGGAAGAGGGTTGTTTTTTGTTTTGCCGGTCCTGGGGCCTGAACTCTGTCCCTCAGCTCTTCAGCTTAAAGCTAGACCCCTGCTCCTTTGAGCCACAGCACCACTTCTGGTTTTCTGGTGGTTGATTGGAGATCAGAGTCTCACAGACTTTCCTGCCCAGGCTGGCTTTGAACCACGATCCTCTAGATCTCAGCCTCCTGAGGAGCTAGGATGACAGGCGTGAGCCACCAGCACTCAATACACCAGGGTTTATTTTATTTGTTGTTGTTGTTTTAATTCCAAGAGTTCTAGGCTGTCTTTCCCTAGTCTGGTCAGGGAGAAGTTGTGAACATAGCAAGCCAGGGTGGGGCAGGAGCCAGCCATGGAATAGCCAATGGGCAAATCGCTTAGATACAGAAAAGCAAACAGGATGGGGGGTGGGAGGGGACGGGGCAGGGTCTCAGCCCTCCCCAAATCGACTCTAAAAGGAGACAACAGAGCCTCCCAGACCTCTGACAGGGCTGATGACTTTTGGGTCTGGAACACAGTGGAGAAACTTCATCAGAACTCTGGCCAGAAGCCCAGACCCCAGACATTCTTGCCCCACCTTTCCTGCTTCAGATTCTGTTGGGTGGAAAGGGGAGATTGTGGGGGGAGAGGCAGGAAGGGGAAATAGTTGGACCTCTGGCTGTAGCCACTGGGGGGGGGGGGACACAGATGGGAGACAACAGTCCAGGCAAGAGGTCAGGATCTCACACACACACACACACACACACCCCTATGATTCCAGAAACAGATAGAGCAGCAAGTCTGTTCCCACGGCTTTGAACCTCCTGTGAGCTATGCCCACAGGAGAGGTTTCCCAGCCCTGTCACGCCTCGGGTCTCTGGGATTTCATCACCTCCTGATGACATGAGGATTCTACTAGAAAAGAACTTCTCCAGCTACTCCAGTCGCCTCTCAAAACTGTAGAAAGGGACCAGGACCAGGAGCTGGTGGCTCACGCCTGTCATCCCAGCTACTCAGGAGGCTGAGATGTGAGGATCGTGGTTCAAAGCCAGCCTCTTCTCTCCAATGAACCACCAAAAATAAAATTTAAAAAAAAAGCCAGAAGTGGTGCTGTGGTTCAAGTGGTAGAGTGTTTGCCTTGAGCCAAAGAAGCTCAGGGACAGTTCCCAGGCCCTGAGTTCAAGCCCCAGCACCCACCCTCACCCCTGATACATACTGACTTCAGGAACACACAACCTGGGTGCTGAGCACCGGTCGCTCAGAGCAGCCCTGTGAGTCACACGACAGGCACCCCAGAAAGTTCCTGGCACATAGTTTACTGGCAGGCAGACATGCTTGCCAGGGGCGGGGCCCCCTGACAGAAGTGGCCGGTTGTGGCCTGCACAGGTGAATCAGCTACTGTGTCTCCCGCAACCCCCCCCCCACTTTGTGCCCATCTACACCGTCATCACTGCATTCCAGAGCCTTCTGGTCACATGACGCTACTCCTGGACAGGGACACCCCCCCCCAAACCACACATACAGAGGTGAGGGGCCTCCTCTTCCCCTCCCAGGCTGCAATTCAGCCCCCCCACGCCACCCCTCACCCCCTCAGCCCTCACCTCTGTCTTGGTAACTCTGATTATTTCCTGGTCAAACTGTCACTAAAGATCCTTTATTCTGGGCGGCCCTGGAGGCCTCGCCAGCATCCAGTATGGGCAGTGGAGAGTGGAAAAACACCTCCCCCCCCCCCAGCTTGCAAAGGGGGGAGGGGGGGTCCCACCTACTCCCTGTCCCTCTGGGATCCCAGACGTCTCCCCCTCTCCTGCTCCCTTTCTTCAGTCTACTGGGGTTTTCTGTCTCAGATGCCAAGGATCTTTATTTGGGGGTGGTGGTGCGGGGGGGGGAGGGTTCTACACGATTCCTAATCTGGGGGGGAGAGCATCGCAACCTTTTTTTGGGGGGCTCTGACAACCCACGGGTCATCCCCTCTTCCAGGCTGCCTCGCCTGACCCAGCGCTCCCCACCCCCGGGTGTGAGGCCCGTACCCCCCCCCGACACCCCTCCCCGACACTCCCCCCCCCCAAACCCAGCCCAGCTATCCTGCAAGTGCCCGGGCTCTAGAGTGGAAGGACTGGGGAGGAGGAGGGGGGGGGATCAGAGACTGTGCTCAGACTCGAGCCCGCGGGGCTGGGGATCGCGACCCTCCCCCCCGTACCCCACCCGTGCACCTCCCCCACCCCCGGGCGCCCACTCCTCCTACCTGAGCTGAGCGGCGCTCTGCGCGCGGCACCCCGCGCTGCGCCGGCTCCGTGTCCGCCCCGCCCACCCCAGGCTGGCCACGCCCCTCCTGGAGATCACGCCCTTCCCATTGGCCGCCCTTCTCGAGTGGCCACGCCCTTCCCTCTGCCCCCCCACCTCCCCGCCTTCCCCCGTTCAGCTGGTCCCAGCCCTCCAAGGAGATCACGCCCTTCCCATTGGCCACCCCTCCCGAGTGGCCACGCCCTTCCCACTGGCCCCTTCCCATTGGCCGCCCCTCCCGAGTGGCCACGCCCTTCCCTCTGCCTTCCCCCCCACACACACCTCTCCGCCTTCCCCCGCTCAGCTGGTCCCAGCCTTCCAGATCAAGCCCTTCCCCATTGGCCGCCCCTCCCGAGTTGCCACGCCCTTCCCACTGGCCCCTCCCCATTCAGTAGACTACGTCCATTCCCATTGGCAGCCCCCTCCCGATGGCCCCTCCTCCGTCCCACTGGCTCCGCCCATCCTTCGCCACTGGTTTCACTTAAGGGCCCAATTGGCCACACCCCCTCCCCAAGTACGCGCACGCTTCCTATTGGCTTCACCCGTTCCCTCCGGGCCACACCCCTGCGGAGCGGCCACGCCTTTATCAACTGGCCACGCCCAGTCCTGGACTAGGGGAGGAGGAGGAGGCGGTGGCGGCGGGACGCGGTGCTCCTGGCTTTCATCAAGCTCGGTGGGGAGCCGGTGCTAGGCTGAGATGGAGTTGCCAGGCTCAGGTTTCCCAGCCCGGGGTGCAACGGCCCCCGCTAGGTGTGCATGAAGCTCCCTGGGACCGGTGTGCGGGGTGGGGGGGGGTAGGGGGGACGGGGAGACTACACCATGATCTTGGTGGTCCATTTGGGATCAGTCTCCCAGCTCGACCCCAGGTGGATTTTTTTTTATGCCACTTGCGAGGCAGAGGATTCAACCGAGGTCACCCCACAACCCTGAAGCCGAATGCCCCTGGGTGGCTGCCACTCCTGTTTGTGTGACCTTGAGATCAGAGCCTGAGGCTGGATCGGTTTCTTGCAACCCAGCCGGGCCACCTTGGAAAAGGGGTGCTGGAAAGATCTAAGGTCCCGGCTGGCTGGAGGAAAAGGGCACGGTTCGATAGAAGCTCTCTTGTGTTGCTGCCTCAAGTGGTAGGGCACTAATAGATATTGGGGGGTCCCTGGGCAGTCAGAGGTGTAGGATTTGGGGGGATACAGAGGACACATGGTCATAAAACCTTACTGTAGGGCTGGGAAGGTGGCTTAGTGGTAGAGTGCATGCTTGCCTAGCATGCATTGATGCTGCAGTTCAATTCCTCAGCACTACATGCACAAAAAAGGCTGGAAATGGTGCAGTGGCTCAAGTGGGTAGAGCGCTCGCCTTGAGCAAAAGCAGCTCAGGGACAGTGACTCAGAAATCAGGCCCTGAGTTCAAGCCCCAGGACTGGCAAAAAATAAATAAAATAAAACAAAAATAAGTAACAACAACAACAACAAAAAACCTTTCTGTAACCCAGTTGCTGGTGAAGCAGGGGGCTGATCAAGACAGATTGGGGCGGGGGGAGGGGGGAGTGTGTTTTACAGTCCCAGGGCTTGAACTCAGGGCCAGGGCACACTGTCCCTGAGCTTCTTTTGTTCAAGGCTAACACTCTACCACTTGAGTCACAGCGCCACTTGCAAGTTTATGAACATTGCGAAGCTGGTGGGGTTTTTTTTGTTTCCTTGTTTTGTGCCAGTACTAAGGTTTGAACTCAGGGCCTGGTACTATCTCTTAATTTATTTCCTTTTTTGCTCAAGGCTGAGGCTCTACCATTTGAGTCACAGACCCCCCCTTCTAACTTTGGAGCTGTTCATTGGAAATAAAGAGTCTCCCAGATTTTCCTGCTGGGATAGCTTTTAAACCAAAATCCTCCAGATCTCAGCCTCTTGAGTAGCTAGGATGACAGGCAGGAGCCACCAGTGGCTGCTTGGCTGGAAAACCAGTTTTATTATCTGCAGAATGGAGCAAGATCTGCCCAACCTTTCTCTTTCTTCCTGGCTAGGGACCAGGTAAGGGCCTCAGGGTTCCCGAGAGTGCTCAAAAAACTGACTTTACTGGGTCAACCTGCTCTTGATCCTTTGCAAACCACAGCTACCCCCTAGTCCCTTATAAATGAGTATAATAAGCCTTACAGACACAAGCCACCCCAAGGTCAGAGAATGTAGGCCTGTGTAAGCTAACCGGTACCACGTAGACTGCAATTTATTGAACAAACTGATGGGTCCCCTATGCTACACCTTTCCTGGACACAGACATACTTTTTCCCCCACTGTGGTCTTGGGGCTTGAACTCAGGGCCTGGGCATTGTCCCTGAGCTCTTTTGCTCAAGGCAAGCACTCTACCACTTTGAGCCACAGCGCTACTTCCAGATTTCTGGTGACTCACTGGAAATAAAGAGTCTCTCATGGACTTTCCTGCCCGGGCTGGCTTTGAACCACGATCTCCCGAGTAGCTAGGATGACAGGCGTGAGCCACCGGTGCCTGGCTGGCATCTGTGATTCTGGAGACATTAAGACGATCAGAAAGCAGAACACAGCACAATCCCCTACACATCAGTATCTTGGCACACAAGCGTCGGCTCACACTTGCCCAGATCGGGCCTAGCCCCTGAGCTATTCCTGGCTGGGCCTATGGCCAACAAGTTCAAGTTCAGCCTCAGCCACTGTGTCTCAGTGGCTCTCTAGCTCCCTCCACCCCACCCCTGCTCCAGGCTAAGCCCACAGTGCCATGAACCCCAGCTTCACAGGAGATAGAAGTTTCCTGGACTTTCCTTCCCTAGGCTGGCTTCAAATCCTGATCCTCACATCTCAGCCTCCCAAGTGACTAGGATGACAGGAATGAGCTGCCAGCGCCTGGCCTGTGATTTTCCCCACCCCGAGACCCTGGAGACTGAATTGGGTCCCTACAGGAAACTCACAGGAGCTAAAAATAGAGGGACAAGCGGTCTCTTGTAGGCCAGTGTCCATCACCAGGCAGGGAGGGGAAACTGTTTGGAAGAGAATCTGGCCGAAGTCTGGCCTAGAATCCAGAGCTTCTGCTCCCATTAAGCTAGGGCTTCATGGACACAGCTAGGTATGGGCAGAGTCTAAGACAACCTGATAAGAATCCGAAGCAGACCAGGGGTTGGTGGCTCACGCCTGTAATCCCAGCTACTCAAAGAGACTGAGATCTGAAGATCATGGTTTGAAGCCAGCCTAGGCTACACCCCACTTCTGGTTTTCTGAGCGGTTCATGGGAGATAAGAGTCTCACAGTCTTTCCTGCCAGGGCTGGCTTTGAACCATGATCCCCAGATCTGCCTCTGAGTAGCTAGGATGACAGGTGTGGGCCACTGATGCTAGCATCCCTTAGTTTTTGTTTTGTTTTGTTTTGTTTCTCAAGGCTGGTGCTCTACCACTTGAGCCACAGCTCCGCTTCCAGTTTTAGGTGGCTAATCAGAAGTGGTCCTGTGCCTCAATGTGGTAGAGCACTAGCCTTGAGCAAAAAGGTCAGCCCTGAGTTCAAGCCCTATCAGTGACAAAAAAAAAAAAAGCTAAGGGACAGTGCCAAGGTTCTAGGTTCTGAGTTCAAGCTCCAGTACTAGAAAGAGAGGGGGGGGAGAGGGAGGAGGGAGGAGGGAGGAGGAAGGAAGAAAAGAGAGAGAAAGGGAGGGAAGAAGGGAGGGAGGGAGGGAAGAAAGGAAGGAGAGAGAAAGGAAGGGAGGGAGGGAAGAAGAAAGGAAACAGGGAGGGAGGAAATAAGGGAGGGAGGGGAAGGAAGAAAAGAGAGAGGGGAAGGGAGAGAGGGAGGGAGGAAGGAAGGAAGGAAGGAGGAAGGAAGGAAAGAGGAAGGAAGGAGAAAGGAAAGGAGAGAGGGAGGGAGGGAGGGAGGGAAGGAAGGAAAGGAGGGAAGCCAAAGCTTAAACTCAAATCAGGTCAAGGCTCGGACTGGGGCAGAAGCTAAGTGGGTAGGATCAGAACACAGCCCCTCCAGCAGCCCTCACTGGATTGGCAGAAGCTTCTGGATCTTTCAAGAACCTTCCCCGACCCCGGTTGCAGGCAGGCTGCTTGGATTCTGCCCTCCCCTGCACACCAGTTCCCCTTCTCTCCAGCTCTGGTATCCACAGTGACCAGGGCCATCTCCGGGCAGGAAGCCAGCTCAGAAATCCCTGGACATCCATCCCTGAACGCTGGTCACCATAGCAACCACCTGCTTGGGCCCGCCTTCCCCCCGCCCCCCCCCCACCATCCCCTTCATCCAAGTCCAGTCTTATTTTTGAGGTCAGTAGATTCCATCCTCTCCCCCTGGATCCACCAGGAGAAACTGAGGCCGGAGTGAGGAAGAAGACTGGAAAGGGGAAACCTGTTGATGAAGAAGGGTTTTACCTTTCACCTGTCCTCTCTCTGTCTCTCTCTGTCTCTCTCTCTCTCCCCCCCATCTCAAAGGGGGTGGAGCTTGGAGTCTGATCACCAAGGAGAGGAGGAGTCTGATCAGCCCCTCTCCTCCCTGTCCCTCCCCCCACACCCACACCAGGAGCAGGATGTTGAAGAGGAACCTAACACCCCCATGATGAATTAATGATACTGACTCCTCCCTTTCCTCATCACCTGCCAGGGGTCCCCACTGCGGGAGCCCGCCCTGCAGCTCCAGCCGAACACCCGCCCCTCTGATCCCTTCCTGACCCACAGTGGGAAGATGGCCGGACCAGGCCCAGACTCCAGGCAGCTCTGGGCTCTGGGCAGCGCCATGCTGGGGGCCTGCCTGGCAGGGGTGGCAGCGGCACAGCTGGTGGAGGTGAGGCAGGGAGGGAGGGAGGGGGAAGGGGGGTGAAGGGAAGAGTGGGGACAGGGGAAGAGGATCCGGGGAGACCTGACCCTCTAGGGGGCTGACACAGCCGGTCCCCCTAACCCCCACCCCCACCCCCAGGCTCTGTGGGACTTAGTGCTTACTTGCTCCTCTCTGATCTGATGGGGGGAATCTTAAGTCTGCTGGGAGAGGGAGATACGTCTTCAGATCTAAGGGGTTCAGTCCAACGGGGGACCCCAGTCCTGGATGGCAGATACAACCCCTATCAATCATCTAGTCTCTATTTATTTGTTTGTGTATTTCTTTTGGTCGGTCGTGGGGCTTGAACTCGGGGCCTGGGCGCTGTCCCTCAGCGACCAACCAAAAAAAAAAGAAAGGAGGCAGAAATTCTAGAAAGGCTTCCAGGGAGACTCTGGGAAGTAGTTTCTAGGACAGGACAAGATAAGACAGAGCCAAACTCTTCTTTATGGGGGGAAACCTCTGAGCTAGATCTGGGGACATGAGAATAGAATCCTGCACCCCAGGGTGGCTGGCCCAGGCTGGGGGGCGGGGGGGGGGAATGGAGGGAGGTAAGACCAGGAGGCCACAGGCATCTGATGTCAGCTCCAGTGTCTCCGTAAGGAGAGCTGAGCTGGCTGGAACCTCATAGAATAGAGTTGAACCCCTGGGTGTAGAAACGGAGCTAGGGGGGTGTTGGGGGAAGGGCGAGGAGCGATCATCAAGTCAGTTTTATTTATTTGTATTTGTATTTTTTGCGAGTCGTGGGGCTTGAACTCTGGGCCTGGGCGCTGTCCCTCAGCTCTATCAGCTTAAGGCGGGCGCTCTACCACTTGAGCCACAGCGCCACTTCCAGCCTTGTCTGTGTATGTGGTACTGAGGACTCGAACCCAGGGCTTCATGAATGCTAGGTGAGCGCTCTACCACTGAGCCATCTGTCCAGCCACCCCCTTTCCCCCCTATCTCCTGGGGACAATGTGGGGGGGGAGTTCTTGCTTATTCTGTTCTCAAGCTGGGTAGAATGAGAAATCCCAGGATTCTTAGAATTACCCCACCCCAGCTATACAGGTAGAGAAACTGAGGCTCCAAGGAAATGTGTGTGTGTGTGTACACCTGGGCCATCATTAGGGCTGTATTCAGGGTCTGGGGCACTGTGCTATAGCTCTCTTAACCAATGCTGGTGCGCTCAACCACTTGAACTCCACCTCTGTTTGCTAGCTTTTTGGTGGTTCATTGGAGATAAGACTATTTCCTGCCCAGGCTGGCTTGGAACCTGTGATCCTCAGATCTCAGCCTCCTGAGCAGGTAGGATGACAGGTGTGAGCCACCTGCGCCCACCCTGACCCCCACCCTTCCCGATCAGCCACGTTTGGTGACAGACATTCTCTTCTGATCGGAACACGTGTCACTCAGATACCATACCATAGGACCACGTGCATTAGGTCGATGTCTCCTTGAAAACACCTGGACTGTGTCCTCTAAGGCTCTCCGGGCAGGGGGCTGTGTCTCCTTCAGACACCCAGGACAAGGTCAAGTCTCCTAGTCACTTGAGACAAGGTCATATCTCCTGGATGAGGTCATATCTCCAGGAAGTGCAGAAAAGTCATGTCCCCTCAGGACAAGATCAAGATCACAGCCTTCAAAACTCCCCAAGTGGGGACATATGCCCCCCCCTACTCCCGATTCCCCTCCCTGCCCTCCCCCCGCCCCCAGGGTGGATTGAGACAGTAGGATCAAAGCTGAAAGGTAGAAGGTGATTTGGTGTACAGCTGCATTTACGTGGCTTGGCCTCCAGGTGTCGCTGGTGGATTATACTATCTCTAGACAGGTCTTGGGCCTAGCTATGAGGCTGCCTTCTGGTCTTTGCTAGGAGAACAGAGCATGCGAGGCTGAGCCCCCCAAATTTATGAGGGGGACAAAGGGGAGAGGAAAAACCAATCCACCAATGCAACACAGGCCTTGTCTTGTCTCTAGTCTCGATTCTGAGACACCCTCCTTCCCGATACCTGTGTGCAGTGAGGAGGCTTGGGTGGTTGACATTTGTGTGTGTGTGTGTGTGTGTGTGTGTGTGTGTGTGTGTGTGTGTCTGTGTGTGTATAGACCGGCATCTGGCTTTTTTTAACATAACATTTTATTCATAACTAGAAAAGATGACTTTGGAGTCACCAAATTTAAAAAAAAAAAAAACTAATGAGGGTTGGAAATGTGGCTTAGTGGTAGAGTGCTTGCCTAGCATGCATGAAGTCCTGGGTTCGATTCTTCAGTACCACATCCACAGAAAAAGCTGGAAGTGGCGCTGTGGCTCAAAGGGGTAGTGCGCTAGCCTAGAGCAAACAAACAAAAACAACCAACCAACCAAGAAAGCCTGGTGCTGGTGGCTCATGCCTGTCATCCTAGATACTCAAGAGGCCGAGATCTGAGGATCGTGGTTTAAAGCCAAGCCCAGGCAGAAAAGTCCCTGTGAGACTCTGATCTCCAAGGAACCACCTGAAAACCAGAAGTGGTGCTGTGGCTCAAAGCGGTAGAGCGCTTGCCTGGAGCAAAAAGCAGCTCAGGGACAGCGCCCAGGCCCTGAGTTCAAGCCCCAGGCCTGGCCCAAAATCAAATCAATCAATCCAAGGTCTAGGGTGCTGGTGATGGAAATGGCCCCAAATCAAACACATTTATGTTAGGAAGTTCTGCAAGTCTAGGACTGAGGCCTTATTGACACTTGGGCTTCTCTTGGGCTGGGTCCCCAAATTCCTGGCCTCTGCCTTGGCTCACTCTCTCTCCCTCTCTCTCTCCTGACCCTCCACTAGCCCAGCACGGCCCCCCCCAAGCCCAAGCCCCCCCCACTGACCAAGGAGACCGTGGTGTTTTGGGACATGCGGCTGTGGCACGTCGTGGGCATCTTTTCACTCTTCGTGCTATCCATCAGTGAGTAGCCAGACCCCCCTCGTCCCCCCCATCCCGTGGCCCGGTACCCCCTAAATTCCCCTGAACCCCCACCCCTTCCAACCTCCACCTCCAACTCCCTTACAACCAACTCCACCCTTGGACCTCAGGAGCAGCAATTCCGGGCAGTATAAACAGGCCGCGCGCCCACAAGAGGCCCCCATCCTGATTTCTGGCACCTTCTCATCCACACACAAAGTCCCCGTGTGGATGGCTGACAGTCTAGTGGTGACCCGAAACATTTTTCAACCGGACCCCAAAGAGGCAGCCACAGGGCAATTACGGTAATTACAGGGGACTCCGGGCTAAAAATCGAAGACGTGTCATTTTTCCCTCTGGCTGGCCTCCCCAAAGCTTTTCTTGAAGTGGAGCCAGTTCAGAAACTCCACACACCCAGGGGGCCCCCACCAGGCCCCCCTCACCCCAGAGGCGCGCCCCAGATGCCCAGCAGATGTGACTCTCGCAGTCCTGTCTTGTCACATACCATGTGCTTAGAGTCCTATCCTCTGCTGGGGTCTGGGTATTTCATTATTCTCTCTCTCTCTCTCTCTTTCTCTCTCTCTCTCTGCCAACATTAGGGCTTGAACTCAGGGCCTGAGCACTGTTTCTTAGCTTCTTATTTTTGTCTCAAGGCTGGAGATACCTCTAATTTTAATTAATTCATTAGCCAGTCCTTCCTGGGGCTTGAACTCAGGGCCTGGGCACTGTCCCTGAGCTGTTTCTGCTCAAAGCTAGTACTCTACCCCTTGAGCCACAGCGCCCACTTTTGGCTTTTTCTGTGTATGTGGTAATGAGGAATTGAATCCAGGGTTTCATGCAGGCTAGGCAAGCGCTCTACCACTGAGCCACCTTCCCAGCCATTTAGTTTTTTTGCTGGTGTGTTCCACAGATTTTTTTTTCTGCCCAAGCTGGCTTTGAACCACGATCCTTAGATCTCAGGCTCCTGAGTAGCTAGGATGACAGGCTTGAGCCACCAGCTCTCTGTTTTGTTTTGTTTTTGTCACAACTGGGGCTCGAACTCAGGGCCTGGGTGTTGTCCTTTAGCTATTTTTTTTCCATTCAAGGCTGGCCCACTACCATTTGAGCCATACCTCCACTCCTACCTAGCTTTTTGCTGGTTCACTGGAGGGAAGCCTGCCTTCAAACCAGGATCCTCTTATCTCAGCCTCCTGAGTAGCTAGGATGACTTGTCTGCACCACCAGCTTTGGGGAATTTCTTGTTGCAAAGTCAAAGGCTTGGCCTACACCTCTCAGCCTTCCTGTTGGAATGAAGGTCGGAAGTTGAAAAAGAGGGGGAGAGAGTTGGGGTGGCTGCAGCGGGCACAGAGGGCTAAGGCAGAGTTGGGGGCATGTTGGGGGGGAGGAGAGGCACTCCAAGCAAGGGGCGTGGTGGCCCAGCAGCCAAGAGGAAGCCCAGCTTCCACAGGAGGTCTCAGATAAGCCCCATGAATCATCTTCCCTGCATAGAGACCATGCAGCTTGCATTTAAGATCTAGCACCATAACTGGGTGCTGGTGGCTCACGCCTGTCATCCTAGCTATTCAGGAGGCTGAGATCTGAGGATCGAGGTTCAAAGCCAGCCCGGGTAGGAACATCTGTGAAATTCTTCTCTCCAATGAATCAGCAGCAAACCGGTGCTGTGGTTCAAGTGGTAGAGCGCTTGCCTTGAACTGAAGTGCTGAGGGACAGCACCCAGGCCCAGAGTTCAAGCCCCCCCCCACAACAACAACAAAAAAGATCTAGCAGCATGGGGCTGGGAAGGTGGCTTAGCGGTACAGTGCTTGCCTGGTATGTATGAAGCCCTGGGTTCGATTCCTTAGTACCACATATACAGAAAAAGCCGGAAGTGGTGCTGTGGGTCAAGTGGTAGAGTGCTAGCCTTGAGCAAAAGAAGCTGAATTCAAGCCCCAGGACTGGCTAAAAAACAAAAAGAGCACCAGTAGCTCACACCTATAATCCTAGCTACTCAGGAGGCTGAGATCTGAGGATCATAATCCAAATCCAGACTCTGATTGCCAACGAACCACCAAACAAACAAAAAAGCCAAAAGTGGAGCTGTGGCTCAAAGTGGCAGCTCACCAGCCTTAAGCCAAAAAAACCTAAGGGAAGAGTACAAAGCGGAGTTCAAGCCCCAATACTGGCGCTTACAAACACATACACACCATGATCCCAGAGGATGCTCCAACCACGCTACATGGATCGGATCTATCCCCCACCCCTCACCCCAAAATAGGCCTAGCGTTTCCTGCCTGGGCCTCCTTTTAACTCCCCAGCATTCTGCCAGGAAGTGTTGTTGTCTGTCATCTGATTTATAATAGAAACCAGGCCCACAGTTCCACATTGCTCTCCTTGGACATGGGCCAAGGTGGTCAGACTGTGGGGGCCTTAGAAAAATAAACTCAGTCCAGCCTCAGCTAGAACCTGCCCTGCCCAGAACCAGGCATACCCGGAGCCCAACTGGGTGTGGGTGTGACTGCTAGGCACCGGAAAACCAACTCCTGGAATAATCGTCTCTCTCTGAGACCGACACCCCAGGACAAGGTCTAGTTCTTTCTCCCCGCCAGAGAGGCCCCAGGCTTGTCCTCAGGGAAACTGAAAGGGGACACAGCCACGTCCCCAGGGATGTCTGAGACAGCTCTGGCTTTGCTCTCAGAAGCCTTGGACAGGAAACCTACCACGGACAAGGTACAAACCCAGAGGTGTGGGTTGAAAACGCTGAGCATCAGTCCTTAAGAGCCATGATGTAAGCCCTTCCTCCGCTTTGTCCTCTGGCATCCAAGAGTCTAGAGAAAGACCTTTAGGACCAGGATTGGATGAACTAGTTCTGGGACCCATGCAAAATAAACATAGGACATCCTTAGTTCCAACTTAAGAATTGAGCGCTGAGGCTCACACCTGTAATCCCAGCCACTCAGGAGGCTGAGATCTGAGGATCACCATTCAAAGTCAGCCCAGGCAGGGAAGTCCAAGAGACTCTTCATTAACCATCAAAAAGAAAAAACAAAAAGCCTGAAACGAAGGGGAGAGGGGGTAAGCTCACGTGGGAGGGTGCTAGCGAAGGCCCTGAGTTCAAGTCCCAGTACCAACACACACACACACACACAAAATGAATCCAGCTGAAGCTCAGCTCTAGCCCAGCCTGCTATGTCTTCTTTATAGTCATCACTTTGTGCTGTATCTTCAACTGTCGAGTTCCTCGTACCCGAAAAGAGATCGAGGCCCGGTACCTCCAGAAAAAAGCAGCCAAGATGTACACGGACAAACTGGAGACCGTACCACCACTGAACGAGCTCACAGAAATCCCAGGAGGTGAGGAAGATCCTTGGGCCACCCAGTCCCCCAGTTCAGCTGCTCAGAATCACCCTGTGGTTGTTCTTCGACCAGAAACCAGCCAGGTGTCAGTGGGTCACAGGTCACCCTAGATCCTCAGGAGGCTGAGATCTGAGGATCGCAGTTTGAAGCCAGCCCGGGCAAGAAAATCCTACGAGACTCTTCTCTCCAATAAATCACTGAAACGAAAACAAATCTGGAAGTGGGGCTGTGGCTCAAGTGGTAGAGCACTCGCCTTGAGCTGAAGAGCTCAGGGACAGTGCCCGGGCCCTGAGTTCAAGGCCCCATGGAAGAGGTTTTAGGACCTCCTACTTAGAAAACCTGGATGCAATGTCACCACTGTGACATTTTTTTTTTCTCCTTACAGAGGAGAAGAAGAAGAAGAAGAAGGACAGCGTGGACACGGTGGCCATCAAAGTCGAAGAAGACGAGAAGAATGAAGCCAAAAAGAAGAAAGGAGAGAAATGAATGCAGCCAAGATGTCAGCCTGGCAGCTGGCCAGCCCAGAGCCTAAGCCCTCACCACGACCCGCCGGCATCTGGACTCTGAGCTCATCCACCAAAGCTGTGATCAGAGGGGAAACTGAGGCCCTGACCACATCCTCAAGGCCCAACCAGGACAGGGACAACACTACACAGAGTCTGATCTTTTAGTCTCCTTTCCCATGGGTCCCTGTTCCTCTACTACTTGAGCCACAGCACCAGTTGTGGTTTTTGAGTGGTGCATGGGAGATCAGAGTCTCACAGGGACTTTTCTGCCTGGGCTGGCTTTGAACTGCGATCCTCAGATCTCAGCCTCCAGAGTAGCTAGGGTGACAGGCGTGAGCCATTGGTATCCAGCTGCCTTATATTCTTTACACTTGGCTTTTTTGCTCATGCTTGGTGCTCTACCACTTGAGCTACATCTCCACTTCTCTGCTTTGGGGAGATAAAAAGTCTCACAGGTTTTCCTGCCCCGGCTGCTTCTGAACCACAGGTTTCAGATCTCAGCCTCCTGAGTAGTTAGGATGACAGTCTGAGCCACCGGCACCTGGCTTAGTACCAGATTTTTTTTTTTTTTTGCCAGTTCTGAGGCTTGAACTCAGGGCCTGGGCGCTATCCCTGAGCTGCTTTTGCTCAAGGCTAACACTCTACCACTTGAGCCCCAGCGCCACTTCCAGCTTTTTCTGTGGATGTGGTACTGAGGAATCGAACCCAGGGCTTCATGCGTGCTAGGCGAGCGCTCTACCACTGAGCCACCTTCCCAGCTCCCAGGATTGTTTCTCTACCTTGGTTTAGCGCCAGGCAGTGAGCCAAAGCATCAGGTACTGAGTTCAAGTTCCATCTTGGATGTACAAAAAAGAAGAAAGGAAAAGAAGAGAGGAAGTTCAGTTCTGATCTCCAGTGCCCTTTAGGAGAACAGGGCAATAGTGCCAGCAGCCGGCTTGATCTGCATCTGTGGTACTGAGGAATCGAACCCAGGGCTTCAGGCATGCTAGGTGAGCACTCTACCACTGAGCCACCTGCTCAGCCCCCAAAACCATCTTGTAGGAGTGCAAATAAAGTAGAGTGCCTTCTCATAGCCAGTCTCCTGACCTAATTCATCCTTGGATTTTTTTTCTTCTTTTTTTTGGGGGGGGGTGCCAGTCCTGGGGCTCGAACTCAGGGCCTGAGTGCTGTCCTTGAACTTCTTGTGCACTAGCTTAGTGCTCTAACCAGCAGAGAGCCACAGCTCTGCTTCGAGTCTCACAGATTTTTCCTGCCCAGGCTGAATTTGAACCAGGATCCTCAGATCTCAGCCTCCTGAGAGCAGTAACCATGGCTGCCAGCATACAGCAAGAGCCGTCACCCCCAAACTTTTTTTGGAGGGGGAGGGAATCTACACTTTGTGGTATAAACTATCCAGAGTCTCTTCCCCACACACACACACACAAAATGAGGCGCCCCCACCCCAGACCCACAAAGGAAGAGACATGGAAAGAAACGAAATGTTTAATGGAACATCTCCTGCCCGGCCTTGGGCTCCGAGAACAGGGCATACTCAGAGCTGGGAAGAGGAGGAGGAGGAGGAGGAGAATGGAGGGATAAGAAGCGTAAGTCCCCGGATGGATCTGGGGTCACAGACGCCCTAGGAGGCCAAGGGATAGCAGGAGAGCCAGGAGCAGGGGTTTGGATGGGGCCGGCAGGGCCGGGGGCTCCCCACTTAGACGGTCCCAGATCCAAGACTGGTAAGAGGAAACTTTCAGGAAGATGGGTGGGGAGTCGCTCTTCTCGCAACCCGCACCCCAGCTCACCAAGCCTACCAGATACCAGGTGTCATCCACATTGCAGGCCAGGGGTTCGCCCGTGCTCTCCTGAAGAGGGGGTGGGGCAGCAGGTTACCCAAGGGCCAAGGGCCTGGGGGTGGGGGTTCACCCTCATCACCCTGGCTACTCAGGAGACTGAGATGTGAGGATCAAGGATAGAGGTTCAAAGTCAGCCCCAGGCAGGAAAGTGCCTGCAACAATCATCTCCAAGGAACCATCCCCCCCCCCAAAAAAAAGAAAGAAAGAGCCAGAAAGGGCGCTGTGGGTCAAAGTTGGTAGAGCGCTAGCCTTGAGCAAAACAAGCTCAGGGACAGGGCCCAGGCTATGAGTTCAAGCCCCAGGACTTGCTCAAAACAAAATGGGCCGGGGGGAAGAAAGTGAGGGTAGAGTCAAGGTCATGACTCAGTATCTCCCCCATGTTCTTCTTGCTCCAGACCTTGGGGGAGCCCCTCTCAGCCCCCCCTCCCCTGTTAAAGGACACCTTCCCTTCCCACGTCTCCTATTTCCTCTCTCACCTCCAAATGCTCTTCGTGCAGTCCCCGCCCCTTCCTCCCTGTCTCCACCCCAACTTCGGCTTTGCATTTTCATTTACTTTTTTTTTTTTGGGGGGGGTCAGTCGCGGATCTTGAACTCTGGGGCTGGGCGCTGTTCCTGAGCTCTTCAGCTCAAGGCAAGCGTTCTACCACTTGAGCCACAGCACCACTTCCAGTTTTCTGGTGGTTCATTGGAGATAAGGGTCTCGTGGCCTTTCCTGCCCAGGCTGGCCTCGAAATGTGATCCTCAGGTCTCAGCCTCCCAAGTAGCTAAGATGACAGGCGTGAGCCAATGGCGCCCAGCCTTCATTTACTTCTAAGACCTGTCTACCCTTCTTCTCTGCCTCCTGCACCCCACTGCCAAGCTCGAAGGGGTGCCTAGGTACTCACGTAGCAGAAGTCCTCTCTGTTGATGTCTGAGACACAGATCATCTGTGGGGTGATGATTCGAATCAGGGACGGGATCCTGGCTGACCTGTGGTAGAAGTCCTCACACTTCCGGCTGTTCAAGATGACCACTTCCCTCTCCTGAATGGTTCGAAACTGCGGCCACACGCCTGGGCAACAAAGCTGCATTTAGCCTTGGCTCTTGTGATGTTGACCAAGTCTTACCTCCATTACTTTCTGCCATCTTCCCCCCACTTCCCCCTCACACACACCCCCCTACCCCACGGCTTCCTTTCTGTGCTACATGACAGTTACGAAGCAAAGCCATCACCTGCCCCCTACCCACCAAAGTTGCAAGGAGCCAATGAATCCTCCCCCTGTGGTTCATGCTATGGCTGGTCTTGGGGAACAGCTGGGCATAGCTACTGAGATAAAGTCTTGAGCCTGGCATAGTAGCGCACACCTGTAATCTCAGCTACTTGGTAGGCAGACATGGGAGAATCACTGTTCACAGCCAGCTCCAGGCGGCCCCTCCCACACACAAATCCACAATTTTATATCTAAAGACTACAATCCCAGCTACTCGAGAGCCTGAGATCTGAAGATCAGAGTTCAAAGCCAAGCCTGGGCAGGTCCGGGAGACTCTTAGCTCCAATGAACCACTAGAAAACTGGAAGTCGAGCTGTGGCTCAAAGTGGTAGAGCGCTCACCTTGAGCAAAAGAGCTCAGGGACAGCACCCAGGCCCTGAGTTCAAGCCCCACGACTGATTTAAAAACAACAACAACAACAAAACTGTACCAGAAGAATTCACATCCCTGGGCCTCTAACCCAAGTCCTCGGTCTCCCCCAGGGCCTCCCTGGCTGTGAGGAGGCTGAGACGAGGCTGAGACTCACCTTCGGCTCTGGGATAGCCCCAGCCCGTGACAGCGCACACAGCTTTATCCTCCACCTCGAACTCCAGGCCCGGCAGGCAGATGGGCCACACGTGGTCGCTGTACTTGAGCGTGTGCTGGAGCTTGAGCAGGCCGATGTTGTGGGATCTACCCACCCAGGACCAGTAGCGCTCCGATCGGTACCTCCTGTGTCGGAGGACCTTCAGCACCTGCACATCTGCCGTCTTCTCCGTGACCTCATCAAGCCACGGGCTCCCCACCCTCACGGTGTAGTTCACATTGGAGCTAGGAAAAGCCAGGAAGAAGGGGGGGGGGGCAAGGGAAAGGAAAGAGCGAAGCTGGGCGTCGGTGGCTCACGCCTGTCAGCCCCTCAGGAGGCTGAGATGGGAAGATCGGGGTTCGAAGCCACCCTGGGCAGAGATGTCCCCATGAGACTCAGCTCCCATGAACCACTCAAAAACCTGAAGTGGAGCTGTGGCTCAAAGTGGTAGAGTGCTGGCCTTGAGTGGAAATGCTCAGGGACAGCACCAAGGCCCTGAGTGCAAGCCCCAGTACTTA